ATAGAGCGGGAGGGAGAGAGAGGAAGAGAGAGAGAGAGAGAAACATCGATGTGAAGGAACACATCAAGTGGCTGCCACCCACACGACCAACCAGGGCCGGGGACAAATTGCAACCGAGGTACGTGCCCTTAGCGGGAACCGAACCCGGGTCTCTCTGGACCGCAGGTGGATGCTCCAACCGCTGAGCCAAACAGGCCAGGGCGGTGAATAACTTTTTTAATGTATTGCTGGATCTGATTTGCTAGTTTTGTTAAGGATATTGACATCTATGTTTATCAGGGATATTGGCCTGTAGGTTTTTGTTTTTTGTTTTTGTAGTGTCTTTATCTGGTTTTGGAATTAGAATTATGCTGGCCTCATAAAACAAGTTTGGAAGTCTTCCTTCTTGAATTTTTTGGAATAGTTTGAGGAGAATGGGTATTAGTTCTTCTTTGAATGTTTGATAAAACTCCCCCATAAAGCCGTCTGGGCCTGGGCTTTTGTTTGCTGGGAGAGTCTTGATTACATCTTCAATGTCCTTAGTTGTTATTGATCTGTTAAAGTTTTCTACCTCTCCCCAGTTCATTTTTGGGAGACTGTGTTTCTGGAAATTTGTCCATTTTGCTTACATTGTCGAATTTGTTGCCATATAATTTTTCATAATATTGGTTAACAATCCTTTGTATTTCTATGGTGTCAGTTGTTACTTCTCCTCTTTCATTTCTGATTTTGTGTATGTGGGTTCTCTCTCTTTGTTTCTTGGTGAGTCTAGCTAGCTAAGGGTCCATCAATCTTGTTTATATTTTCAAAAAACCAGCTCTTTGTTTCATTGATCCTTTGAATTGTGTTTTTGGTCTCTATGTCATTTATTTCTGCTCTGATCTTTACTACTTCCTTCCTTCTACTTGCTCTGGGGATTTCTTTTTGTTTGCTTTCTAGTTCTTTAAGTTGTGTGGTTAGATAGTCAATTCGAAATTTTTCTTGTTTCTTGAGGTAGGCTTGTAGTGCTATTAACTTCCTTCTTAGGACTGCTTTTGCTGTGTCTCATAGATTTTGTGTTGTTGTGTGTTCAGTTTCCTTGGTTTCCAGGAAGTTTTTAATTTCTTCCTTGATCTCCTCAGTAACTCATTCATTGTTTAATAACATGCTATCTAGCCTCCATGTGTTCAAATTTCTTTGCATGTTTTTGAGTAATTGATTTCTAGTTTCATGCCATTGTGATCTGAGAAGATGCTTGATATGATTCCAGTCTTCTTGAACTTGTAGAGACTTAGTTTGTGTCTTAACATGTGGTCTGTCTTTGAGAATGACCCATTTGCACATCAGAAAAATGTGAATTCTGCAATTTTGGGGTGTAATTCTCTTTAGATATCTATTAAACCCATTATATCTAGTGCATCATTTAGGGTCTCTGTTTCCCTGTTAAGTTTTTTTTTTTTCCTAGAGGAGGAGTTCTCAACCTTTGGGTCACGATCCCTCTGGGAGTCTAATAACCCTTTTACAGGGGTCACCTAAGACATAACAGTAGCAAAATTTCAGTTATGAAGTAGCAACAAAAATAATTTTATGGTTGGGGGTCACCACCACATGAGGAACTATATTAAAGTGTCGTGATTAGGAAGGTTGAGGACCACTGGTCCAGAGGATCTATCCAGTGATGTCAGCGGGGTGTTGAAATTCTATGATTGTATTGCTGTTAATTTCTCCTTTGAATCCCCAGAAGATTTTTAATATATTTTGGTACATCTATATTGGGTACATATACGTTTACCAAGGTTATATCTTCTTGTTTGATAGATTCTTTAAATATTATGCAGTGGCTTTCTTTGTCTCTAGTTATGGCCTTCATTTTGAAATCCATTTTATCAGATATGAGTATTGCTACTCCAGCTTTTTTTTCCTTTCCATTTGCTTGAAAGATTTTTTTCCATTCCTTTACTTTCAGCCTATGTGAGTCTTTTGTTGTGAGATGGGTCTCTTGAAAACAACATACATATGAGTCATGCTTTCTTATCCAATCAGCTACTGAGTGTCTTTTGATCAGAGCATTCAATTCATTTCCATTTAAGGTTATTATTGATATGTACTTATTTATTGCCATTTTTGTTTGTTGTGGTTCTATTTTCCTTTCTATTTCTTCTACTAATTACAGCAGTCCTTTGAGAATATCTTGTAGTGCTGGTTTGGTGCTTATATATTCCCTTATCCTTTTTTTGTCTGGAGAGCTCTTTATTTCACCTTCTATTTTGAATGATAGCCTTGCTGGGTAGAGTAGTCTTGGATTCAGATCCTTGTTTTTCATGACCTTGATCACTTCATGTTATTCCCTTCTGGCCTGTAGTGTTTGTGTTGAGAAGTCAGCTGATAGCCTTATGGGGGTTCCTTTGTAGGTAACCCATTGCTTATCTTGTGCAGCCTTTAGGATTCTCTTTTTGTCTCTAGTTTTTGGCATTTTAATTATTGTGTCTTGATGTGGGCCTGTTTGGGTTCTTCTTACTTGGGGCTCTCTGTGCTTCTTGAACTTGAATGCCTTTTTCCTTCACCAAGTTAGGAAAGTTTTTTGTCACTATATCTTTAAATATATCCTCTAACCCTTGTTCTTTTTCTTCTTCTGGAACTTCTATGGTGCAAATATTGTTATGTTTCCAGTTGTCCCACAGTTCTCTCAGCTGTCTTCCTGTTTTTTCATTGTTTTTTTTTCCCCTTTTGGTTTTCTGATTTGGTAATTTTTTTTTTACCTTGTCTTCTAATTCACTGATCTGGTCCTCAGCTTCCTCTACTCTGCTGGTTAGTCCTTCCAATGTGTTTTTATTTTTGCGATGTCATTCTTCAGTTCCAATTGGTTGGTTTTCAATGTTTCTATATCCCATGGTGCTGATGTCCTTATATATGCTGTTGAGCTTCCTCAAGATTATGGCTCTGAACTCTACCTGTGATAACTTGCTTAACTGCATTTCATTTATCTCATCTTCAGTAGAGTTCTCTTGTTCTTTCATTTGGGATTTGTTTCTTTGTTTCACCGTTTTGGCTATCTCAGTGAGCCTGCCAAATTTTACCTGTGGCTGTTGGTGTTCTACTGTTTGTGGCTCCCTCTACTGGGTTTGGATGAGTGTGGGAGGACCCATGCTAAACACCACTGTCAAGTCTTACTTTTCTGGATAGATTTGCAAGCCCAGGAAATGTTCAGTTATCCTCAAGATTTTTGCCTAGAGGCTATTAGTCTCAGTTACTTGATGAGCCTTGGGTTGTAGCTGTCAGTTGAATGAAAAACTCCCTCAGGTGTTCAGTGTAAGAGGATTTCCAGAGGGAGAGGTAGATGTTGGTTGTTAATGAGCTTCAATTTGCGTGTCTTTGGCCCAGCTGTGTGGGGTTAAATCTCCAAGGGAGGGGCTTTTGCTTCTCCCCAGAGCTCCTGGAAGAGGCTCCCTGAGCAAGATGGCCACCATCGTATGTGGCTGTGTATCAGCAAAAAGTCTGTGTACCCTCCAAATCCCGAGTATCCCCACACAGTTCCAGTCCAGTCCAGTCTGCCCTCCCTTTGCCGAAGCCCAAGATGAGTGGCTATAGCTAATTTAGTGCTCTGTCCTGGCCATCTGCCCCGTGGAGCCCATTTGTGGTTTTAACCCCGAGGGAGCTGCTCACAGTAAAACAGCTGCTGTCTGTCAGCTCCCAGCCTGCCCTCTCTCAACTCCACAGACCTACCAGGCTTGAGTCAGTGTCCTTTTTTCCTGTCCCTGGTTATATGGGTCCTCTCTAGCTGCTTTTCTGTTGCTTTTTCCCGTCTTTTTGTCTGTATTTTAATTGTAATTCCATTTTGGTCCTGGGAGATGGTTTGTTTAGCTTTCATTCACTCTGCCACCATTTTGGAACCTCCTAAACAGCATAATGTTAAGCTTGCATGTATTTGAACATTATGTAACTGGAAAGCTAATATATGTATTCTTTTGCATGTTATTTTACTAAATATTATTTACTGATATTTATCTGTGAAGATGTGCACTGTCGTACTTCATTTATTTTCACTGCTCAATAGTCTTCTGTTATATGAATATAGCACTACTTACCTGTTTAAATGTAAATGGTTATTTGGGTTGATTCTCATTTTTACCATTACAAATGATGCTGTTGTGAGTATTCTTGTACAAGTCTCCTGGAACACATGTGCTCACATTTCTAGAATGTTTGTTCTTTGAAGTGGAATAACTGGGTCATCAGGTGTGCATGTCTTCAACTACACTAGACAGAGCTGAATCATTTACCTAAGTGTCTGTATCAGTTTACATTCTCACCTGTGGAGCATGAAAAGTTTGGTTATTTCCCATTATCACCAACACTTAAATGGTCAGATTTTGAAAGCTTTGCTGGGCTGATAGAGATCAAATGGTATGTTTAATTTGTACACCCCATTACAAATGACATTGAGTATCTTCTCATATGTTTCTTGGCCATTTAGCTTAGCAATGTGCTTTGAATTTGCAAGTTTTCTTATTAGTTCTTTCCCAGAAATCTCCATCAGTTTTAAATATCTCTGAATAGTGGCTTTAATTTGGTAGTACTTTAGAAACATCTTGAGCATCTGGGAGTAAATTGCCATGTCGATATAAATTCATGAGGATGGTTGTCTCCTCCAGGTGCCACCTTCTGAGTTATTTCTTTTCTGTTTCCCATAACGTGTAAATATTTTTGTCACCGGCTGTAATACATACCTTTATGTTTGTGTGTGTTTATTGAGTATGTAATGAATCTATTTGTATTTATCTTTAGCATTTAAAAGAATTAGTTGCTTTTAAAAATCTTCTGAATCATAAGATCCTTTCATTTCAAGGGATTATTGAAAAAAACTGTCTATATAGTCATTTATTAAATCATCAATATTTAACACTTTTGCATTCTTTTAGCCTAGAACTATTGATTATAGATAAATATCAGAGCATATTTAGTGAATTCTGTATTTTGGGAGAAGTTATTATAATTTATATATTAGGTTACATTAACCATGTATGTTTTGTTTATTGTTATAGACTCATTGGGAGAATGTGAAGTACAAACCAATCTGAAAATTTGGAGAGAGCCCCTTCATATTGAATTTAAAGAAGACAGTATATCATATATGGAAAAATTATGGCTTAAAAAACACAGAAGGTATTTTCTGAATTTTTCATTATGAATAAGTAAAATAAAATGTTGTTTATAGTTTTGCTTGGGTGACACGCTTTTTTGTAGCAATTTTATTTGTGTGCTTCACATTTGCATAAATAATTTTATAGCAATATTAAATCCCCATGTAGCTTCTGTTATAATAAGAATTTTAATTCTATTTATGTATATGATACATCATTAGTTTAGGGTTTTCCTTGAGAAATGTAAATGTAAATGCAGGAAAAAGGCACAAAACAGTATAAAGTTTAAGAGCAAAATAATGTGATAAATGAAAGCCTACTTTGAGAAGTTATTGCTCTCAGACATTTGACATTAGCATAAACTTTTGAGGCTGTATTTTTCAGAATCTACTTTTAAGTTTAATTAGACCTTTAATTTTATAATTTTATTTATAGCATTCCAATACATTTTATTCAAAGACTATTACACTAGACTCACCATTTCATAAACTGCTTAAAATGTAGCATTAAATATTAATAAACAATATTTATTTTTCACAGTTCTTAAACCTGGGAAGTCCAAGATAAAGGTGCCAGCAGATTCAGTGTCTGGAGTGAGCCCGCTTCCTGGTTCATAGATGCCCATCTTTTCATTGTGTCCTCACATGCAGATGTCTGAGACTAGGGGTCTTTCTCCAGTCTCTTTATAAGTGCACTAATCCCATTCATAAAGGCTCTACCCTCATGACCTAGTCTCCTTCCAATGACCTCACTTCCTAATACCATCACCTTGGGGGTTAGGATTTCAACATAAGATTTTGTGGGAACAGACATACAGAACAGCTTTCTGCTCCTGGTTCGGTGCCCTAAAGGTCATGTCATATTTCATGCAAAATATATTCATTCCATTTAATAGCCCTAAGATTCTTCCAGCACCAACTCAAAAGTCTAAGGTCCACATTTTTTTTGTTGTTGTTGTTAATTCTCACCTGAGGATATTTTTCCACTGACTTTTTAGATTGAGTAGAAGGGAGGAAGGGAAGGAAAGAGAGAGAGAGAGAAACATCTATGTGAGAAAGACACATTGACTGGTTGCCTTCTGCATAACCTTCACTGGGGCAGGGGATCAAACCTGCAACCCAGGTATGTACCCTTGACGGGGAATTGAACCTGCAACTCTTTGGTCTGTGGGTCAATGCTCTAACCACTAAGTGAAACTGGCCAGGGCTAAAGTCTACATCCTTATCTAAATATCATCTAAATTAGATATGAGTGAGATCCAGTGTATGCTTTATTCTGAGGAAAATTGCTCTCATGAACCTGTGAAATCAAACATGATATGTGCTTTCAAATACAATGGTAGAGCAGGCATATGATAGATATTCCCATTCTAAAAGGGAGAAATAGGAAAGAAGAAACAGGTCCTGAGCTAATCTGCAACCCAAGAGGGCACATTTTATTAGACCTCAAGTCTTGAGTATTATCCCCTTTGTCTATGTATGCCCTGCCCTCCAGACTCACTGGGATGGAGGTCCCACCTTTTAGACATACTAGAGCAGGGGTCCAGTCCTACCCCATAGCTTTGCTGAACGGAGATTGGGCCCCCAAGTCTCTGGCTGGCTCTGTCCCCATGGCTCTGGATGGCCTCATGCTTGTGGTGGCTCTGTCCTGGGTCACATGCCTGTGACTCATCCACACTGGGATCTAGTGGCTCTTCTACTCTAGGGTCACAGGGGTAACCTTGTCCCTATAGTTTCCCTGGGCCTTGCTCTCTGCAGCAGTCTGGACTCTCTTGTTCTGTGATGGAGGGACAGTCCTGATGATTTCTGAATTGCCTTTGGGGTCATTCTTCCATTGTCTTGGACAATAGGTCCAGGCTTCAGTTTAGGTGGCTGACAAATCTCCCCGTCAGATTTGGCCATATATTTCCTGTTCTCTCCCGAATAGGCGCTCACGTTCTTTTCCATATGGATAAGCTAAAAATGTTCCAAATTTTTGTTTGCTTCTGTTTTGATGACTAGAATTTGATTAATACCTTTAAGTCATTTCTCTCTCCTTGCATTTTACTATGAGCAGCCATGAGAGACCAGGACCCTCCTTCAACACTGCTTGGAAATTGCCACAGCATTTTATATATAATAGTTCAATACTCACAAATTCTACCTTTTATAAAACCCTAAGACAGAAACACAATTCTTCCAAGTTCTTTGCCAAATTATTAACATAGATTGCCATTCCTTCATTGTCTAATAATATATTTCTTATTTCCATCTGATACTTCATCAGAACGGCATTTCACATTCATATTTCTAGTGACATTCTCTTCAAGATTACTTAGGTGTTCTCTAGGAAGACGAAGCCTTTTCCTGCAGCTCCCCCTTTTCTTCCTGAGCCCTCACCAGAATTGTCTTTAAAGGTTCATTCATAGCAAGGTAGCCTTTTTCTAGCATGAATTTTGTAACTTTTCTATGCATTACCCAGTTCCAAACCTGCTTCTTTATGTTTAGGTATTTGTTACAGCCCCCTTCTGGTACCCATTTCTCTTTGTCCATTTGGAATGTTATAACAGAATACCACAGACTGGGTGGCTTATAAACAACAAACCTTTATTTCTCCGGTTTTTTTTTTTTTCCTCACTCGAGGGTATTTTTCCATTTTTTGTACAGATAGAGTGGGAGGGAGAGAGAGGAAGGGAGAGAGAGTGAGAAACATCCACGTGAAGGGACACATCAAGTGGCTGCCACCCGCACGACCAACCAGGGCCGGGGACAAACTGCAACTGAAGTACGTGCCCTTAGCGGGAACCGAACCCGGGTCTCTCCGGACTGCAGGTCGACACTCTAACCGCTGAGCCAAACTGGCCAGGGCAAACCTTTATTTCTTAGAGCAGAATTTTTTTAGTAAGTACTCTCTTCTCTTTCGGTGACTTTCTATTTCCTTCATTTCTTCTATATTTATTATAGGAATTTTTCAAGGAAGAATATCAATTTATTTATTCAATTTATTAGGTGGACTCGTGGATATCTATATTTTAATTAATATCCAATACTATTGTTCTTTATTTTGTGACTCAAATAATATCTGCTCTGACCTTTGAGAGCTCTTTCAGGTTGACTCCTCTCTTCTTTCATCTTGTTTTTTGTTTGTCAGTTAGTTTGCTTTGAATATCTCTTCATTTTCATGGCACTCAAGATGCATTTCCCCGTCCTTGCCCAGGAATTATTTCTCCAAGGAATCATGATTTCTTTCATTGGAAAATCATATTCAGAAACCAATATCTGGGCTCTTGCTGTGTTCATTGCTACTCAGGTGTCACAGATCCTAGGCCTTCACAGAGAACATCTAGAAAATGTATGTATATATAAGATATATATATATATATATATATACTGTATATACCAACCCAGTATATACACACATCTAAATTTATATCTGTGCCTATCTACCTGGATGTCTGTTAAAGTAAACATGAGTTCACACTCAGACCTCCATCTCCAATCCAGCCTCATGCAGTTCATTTACATTCTCCCTTTGCCTATTTGTGGTTTATTTCACCTATAGGGAGAATTCTGGCTCTCATTATCTATGATATATTTATGAATTTATCAACTTCAGTATATGTATAAAATAGTTTCAAATTACTAATATCACCGTGAGAAACAAATTCGTCAACTGGATCACACTGCTTATATATAGTGCTTTTCATTGTCAGCCTACAACAGTATCTTATCAAAGCCTTGTTTTCCAAAGTTGCTCAGACCATAAGACCCATTTTTACCCTCTTTCTTTAGAATGGTTTTTACCATTCATTGATTCCTTTTTAAAATCTAATGAGCATAAACTTGTGTACAGTTTTATGGATTTTTACCAGTGCCTAGAATCATATGTTTACCATGGTACCAAACAGCACGGTCTCCTCACCCCAACCTTCCCTCATGCTCCCCAGTGCAGTCAGCTCTTCTTCCCCAGCCTGTGGTCATTGGTCTGTTTCCGTCCTTATACCTTTGCCTTTTTTTGAATGTCATGTAAATGAAATCATACAAGATGTACCCCTTGTGTCCTTCATTTAGCAAAGTGCTAAATTTAAAATTCATCCATCTTCTTGAGTGAATCAAAACCCATTATTTTTTATTTTGGAATATTAGTTCATCATTGTGACATACAGTTCATCTATTCACCCGTTGAAAAATAGCCTGCTGATTTATAGTATTCTTGTAATTATGGCTGACTCTGTTATAAATATTTTCATATAGGTTTCTGTTTGAATATAGGTTTCAAATTTCCTGGGCACATACCTAGAACTGGAATGGCCAAGTTGTATGGTTTAAGTATATGTTTATCTTTCTGAGAAAATGCCCAACTCTTTTCCATAAGACCGAATAGTTTGGCACTCCTTCCTTTAAACTATGAGATTTCTAATTGCTCTCCATTCTTGCCCATGCCTGGTATTTTCAGGTGCCTTTTCTTTTGGTGGTTGCTTTAATAGGTGTGCAGGTGTATCCCATTGTGGTTTATGTGGCAGGGTTTTAAGTTTTTCATATCCAATTCTGGTTATTCCTATGTAACTATTCTTTATGTTGTCTACGTCTCCTTTAATGTATGATTCCCATAACAGTCCTTCACGTGTCAAACTCAGAAGTGTGTACCTGTCAACGACTCCTCCTAGTTTAAGAATTAGTACATGACAGTAATATCAAGTTCGCTCATCTTTTACGGTGGCTGCCTTTCAGTGTCCTTCAAATGGAGTTTGTTATACAATAAAATAAGTGTAATTTTGTTATTAAATGACCACTATCATTTGTGCTTGGACACATACAAAAAGCTTTAATCATGGGCACATGAAGTCTGAGCAATGCTGAATACTAAATGTTGGCAAATTTTCTTGTTAGAAAATAATGGTTAGTGAACATATTCACCAGGGTCTTTTCACAGTTATTATTATTTTTTTAACAGTGATCATTATTTTTTGAGTTAATGCTTTCTGTCTTAATTATAGATGCTAGTGTGGAGCAATCCATTTGCAATTTACAAGTTTGTAATTGTAAATTGATTACAACATTTCTGATGCTGTGCTTCTGAAAACTTTCCCATGTTAATAATGATGATCATGGTTAAGACTTTATCTTTGCCTATAATTGTCATGTTTTATAATAGGTTTTTATAAATATATGTTCCATTGCTTTTTGTTTTTGTATTTCTTTTCTGAATTGGATAATAACATTTGTATTTTATGTGCAACCAATACACGTGTTTTAATATCTCCAGTAGATCTATTAAGTGCTAGGAAAGTTTAGTGAAAGAAAATTTAAGATCTGAATTTGGAGTATTTTAAGGGATGGTATTAACAATTATCTGGTGTTTCCATTCAAATTCCCCTACTCTTTTCATTACATTTAATTATCAGTTCTAGTTGATCATCAGAACTACCCGGAAAAGTTTTTAGAATACTGATTTCTGTACCTAACCCCAGACAAATCTAAAAATCAGTGTTTTAAAGGATGGATATGAAACTACATTTAAAAATATATCTTTCTTAGTGATGCTGATGCAGACAGCCAAACAGATTCACAGAGTATATTTAGAACAACTCATCATAAGTTTCCTCAAATGAATTGGTCAATGTTCAATAAATCTGTATTTAAACTTTGAGGTAATCCTATTATAAAATATATGTTCTTTATTTATGTAGCATGATGTTTTGCCAAGGCATGCATGCCAGGGTTCCAATATCCAGAATGCAGACTTAGTTTATTTACTAACTGGTTGTTTATGGACACATCATTTAAATTCTTTTGGCCTACATTTTCTCATCTGGGAAATACTGAGTTTATAATAAACAATCTGTAGGGCTCCTTAGCTGTCATACTTTACTATCATGACTCTGTCATTCTTTGGCTCATGGCTTTATTCATAAAATTAGATGTTTTCACCTCATGAAGAAGTATCTGGATAATAGTACATTTATGTATATCTGTGACTGAGTGTTAGAAGTATATCCATGTCAAACTGGAAAGATGTTTCTGATGGCCAAGTGCCAAATTATCCTTGACCTTTACTCTTTAATATTTCCATGAATTAAATTATGATGTGATTATGATATAAAATGACATCCTCATCAAATTTGTAAAGACATAAAGTTGAATAACAAATATATATATATTTCTTGTATTAGGAGAATGCACAGAGTCATAGATTGCCAGGAAATTATCACTTTTTAGTACTTTTACAAATCGAAAGAAAGGAATATAGAATAATGGTTAGGAACATGGTCTTTGGGAGGCAGACACCTTGGTTTCGAATTGCTCTTCTACATTTATTACCTGAATGAATTTGAACAAGTTGGTTTCCTTCTTTATACCTTAATATCTTCATCTGTAAAATGAAAATAGCACTAGTGCCAATTAAATGCATCTATTGAGATTTAACACCCCATATTAATTAAAACAGAGCCCGGTACATTTTAAGTTATGCATCAATGTTACCTGTTAATATCATGAAGAAGACTCTGACCTTTATTTAGGGCCTTCATGAGTTTACATGGTCTACAAGGGCTGTAGCTACTTTTATTCTTGGTAAAACTGACCAGCTCCTCAATAACTTGGGAATAACTTCTGGAACACTCTTCTCCTCTGAGAATCCGAGTGATTCCCTGCCTTCCATATGAGGTGGACCACATCCAACTTTATTGTCAATTGGATGACAGATGCCACAGTGAGAACACTTCATATTCATATCAGGGGACCCTATTTCATCACCCTACCAACTTGGCGGAAGCTTAGAAAAATGTCTTCAGGTTCTCCTAGAACTTATCGGCATAATGCCAGAGCCGTGGGACACAATGCACATTCACAAATTACCATTTTTAGATAATGTGGTATGTTTAACCAACTTTACATGGTTTTTGCAAGAACACTGACTTCTATCATAACTTTATTTTTCATTCTAAACAAAAAAACAGTGGGATATTCAATTAAAAAGTCTTGTATGATGTTAATTTGATTTACAAAATTATTTTAGTGGATTAAGATTCTGTTATGCAATCATACTTTCCTTCTGTGAATTATAGGTACGGCTATGATTTCATTATTAATTTTGTAGACTCACTCCTTTGCAAAATAAATCAAGATCTTGTCTGGGAAGTTTTAGATAATATCTTTTAGTCTTTTCATTGCTCCTCCTTGTTTTGTAGAACTCCACAGGAGCAACTTCGAAACATGCTGCCGGATGCATCCACACGTCAGTGTCCAACCACGAGCGAGGCACCATGTTCTCAGAATGAAAGCAACGAAGATAGTGATGGTTAGTTCAGTCTCAAGTAGACATTTGCAGCTTTAATATTTTAAATGATATACCCTAAGCATTAATCAGCATCTGCTTTTGTTTTTGTTTTTTTAATTCTCACCAGAGGACATTTATCTTCAGACAGAGCAGGAGGGAGAGAGGGAGGAAGAGAGAGAGAGTAATATCGATGTGAGAGAGACACATCGAGTGGTTGCCACCCACACGACCCCAACCAGGGCGGGGGACAAACTGCAACCGCGGCAGTGCCCTTAGCAGGAACTGAACCCGGGGCCTCTCTGGACCACAGGCCAATGGTCTAACCGCTGAGCCAAACCGTCCAGGGCTGCTTTTGTTTTTCTTTACTGTATCATTCTCCACTGAACTGCGTACCCTTTATCTCCCGATCAAAATGCATACTTTCTTCTCATTTTCTGGATTTACCTTCATTTAAAGTGGGGGAGGGAATAAATAAACCACAGAACTTATATGCATGTACGCATAACCATGGACATAGACAATTATGCTGGGGACAGGGTGAGGGGAGGGGAATTGGGAGGAGGGTGTCAATGGGGGAAAATAAATTAATAACAAAATTAAGAAAGGAAAAAAGGTAAATATTAAGAAAACATATTTTACTTGTAATAGAAAAATTAACAGCATTTCTGTATTTCTGTGGATGCATAGGAGAAAATTATTCTTTTATTTTTGGCTTTGTTATTTGAAGATAGGAAATTATCAGGTAAAGTATATTATTTGGTGATATTATTTGCTAATCTTATTTTCTAGTTGATGAGATGACAGTACAACGCCCAGCTCTTTTTCTGCCCGTCGAAAAATTAAGCATAGAAAGACCTGAAACATCTGTAAAAATAGTCGAACTGGATGAAGTAAGTGCATAATTACCACTCAGATTATGCAACAAGCAGGGAGTTTATAACACATAGTTACAACCCATATTATTTTGATAAGATATTTTTCATAATTCAACATAGTTTAATAGAAAATTTAGAAGTGTTTCCATTTAAATATGCTGATAGTAATAAAGCAGTATTATTTTAGTGTTGACAGTAACTTTCTGAATTGATAATGTGTCATTTTTTGGAATCATGTAGAATGGGAGAGGAAAAGACATTTTATTCTTTTAACTTCTAGAAATGTTTGTTTTATTTAGTTCTTTATATTATCAGGCTTTAAAATAAAGATTAGTGTGTTATCTATTTAATAAAAGATGTATACATATAGTTTTTGAATGTCATTTAATATTATATTTTATTTAAAGAAAAATAGTATGAAGATTTAAGGGACTTGGTACAATAGTAACTTGAATATAGACCTCTAGGAGACTACAAGTAGAGTCAGCTAAAGCTAGAGCCAGTTGGAACTAGAGCTCCGGGCTGAAAGTTTAACTTTGGACAAACTCAGTCTATTCTGACTTTCTAAACATCTAGTAGCAGAATATACCACTTATCCTTGATATTTATGTTACTGTGGTTGTCAGAGAAAAATGCTAGATTGTAGGAAGCAGTGATTTAAATACTACATTTTCCCTTAGGTTAATAGCCCCTGATGTGTGTGTGTGTGTGTGTGTGTGTGTGTGTGCGCATGCGCGTGCATGCGTGTGTGCAAGCGCATATGCACCTAGCAACATTTTAATTTCTCCTCTGCATGAATTTAAGCTATTGAACAAATGAATATACACACACATGTATGTATATGTATGTATGCTTATTACTAAATTCTTGATGAATACAGTAAGCTTATAACATGCTGGCCAAAGAACCAACCTACTTGGCACTTAATATTTACAAAATAAAACATAAGTTGATATTGTTGGGTCTGTATATGATAGTAATGATAAAACGACTGATAGAGCAAATGCCTTCAACACTTATCTGTTGAAATTGTTGGGTTCTCCTACAAATTCATGTTCTATGACATAAAGTCAGAGAGAAAATTCTTTAAGTATCACCTAAAAGTTACCTGGTTAATATATAATGCATTTATTGAACACACTAATATTACACAACATGCATTTAATAAGACTTTTGAAGAGGAACTTGAAGAACGAGGAAACATCGTGCCTTACAAAGTCGAGTTAGCTGATGCAGAAAGTCAACCAAGGTAAAGTTTTTGTATTTCATTTCTGATGGCTTATTAAAAACCCACCAAAAAAAAAGTCAACTATCTCTTTAAATGAGACACCCATAATGTAAAAAAAACTAGTAATTTTAATGTTAGAGTATATGTTACTAAAGCCATGTTTAAATTTGTGTACAATATTGCTAATATTTGTCAACATTCAATAATTAGAAAATTCTCCATAATGATATATTTATACTTTTACCTTACCTAATATCTGGATTATTTAATAACTGCTTCTGATTTTAGGAATTGTTATTATTTGAAATGGCTGACCAAAGCCAATATATTTCACATGAGCTTTGATATTTTCTTCAAAGATAACGGGATATTCCTCACTTCAGTTTGCTATGAACCCTAAATGAAAACAAGTATATTAATAATTAGTTTGAGAGACCAACAGAGCTCCCAAACTATAGATTACTTCCTAGATAGATTTTACTTTGTGATAAATTATATAAACTAAGTATAATGGACCACTTTGCAATGTTTTTTTGTAGAATTTTGTCATTTCCAAGTGAAAAATATCTAGCAGTATTTGTTAGTAATGTTAGAATCTATTCCAACTCCCCTTCACTGTTGAAACTTTAGCTAGGATTTTAGGTGTTTTGGCTACAAAGTATTAAATTAGTTAAGCAGCAGAATGAATTTTCTAGTAAGTGACCCCTAAGCCAATTCTTTGTTTATATCTTCGGATCAACTTAGGCCCCTGTGAGCATTTTGGAACAGCATTGGGCCTACGTGAGCACTCAGCGGTGAAAAGCCCCATGTTTGCACACGAGGACCCAGAGATCTAGCAGCAAATATGCTTTTGACATTTGACATTTTGACAGAAGGCAGTAGACAACCTTCTGGTCAGTAGATAAGAGGTTTATGTCCACTATTATATCCTTCAGGAAATGAATGGCATTTCTGCTCTCTAATTTGATAGTTCGATGTATCTTATCACAGATCTTTGTTTTGACCTCTCAATGTGGTATTAGAGAAGGCAGGAAAAGTTACTAATCATGGTATGGCCGTAGTTTTGCATCTTGGATTTGGAAATAGCTTCAGAGCTTCTTATTTTCTTAGAAAAATCATAAAGACCCATAGGTAACACAAGAGAATCTTTCTGATTAAGCACAATTCATGAGTTTGTACTAGCTTACATAGATATTAGGTGTTGCTAAATATGTTACTCAATTCATGGAAAGTATTGTTTAAATTGTAACTATGATTGAATAATCATCATTAAAAATGAAACAAATACCACATATGGTATTTTAACTCTTATAGTTCATTGATGAACAACTAATAATTTAAGTATAAAAGCTTTATCTGATGGAAGGAGATTTGAGTAGGGTGGTGAACCTACACCACAATGTACAGGTGATGTATTATAAAATTGTGCAGCTGAACCCTATATAATTTTATTAACCAATGTCACCCCAATGAATTTAATTAAATTTTAAAAACTCCTTGATTATATTTTGATGAGCTTGAAAGATAACTCTCCATCTTTTGAAGAAAGACTATAAGGAACCCAACTTATTACAGGATATTTAAAAAAAGAAACTTTTAATTAAAATTTTGTCGTTAAATCAGTGTTGGCCCAGTTACCTATTTCTTTTAAATCCATAGTATACTTAGTTACTTATAGTTTAGAATGTATCTATAGCAAGGCTAAAATAAATATTAAATCAATGTAAATACACCTACTTCCTTAAGGTTTATTATATTTGTTTTAATAAGCTGGGACTTTAAATTTTTTTAATATTATTTCTTTCCACTCTATTCTTTTGCTTTTCCATAAACATGAAAGTTGCACATTTTATGATTATCATACTTTTCTGCATGAAAATGACATCCATCAGCATCATATTTTCACTAAGGGAAAAACAGACCTCTTACATCGTCATCTGATCAGCAGCTCTTCTTATTGTGAAGATAACTCCAAAGGTAACATTTCTCCTTGTTGATTAATATTATTAACAATAAATGTCAGTAACTTACTAAAACCAATTGGTAGTGCAGTATATAAAAGCTTTGACTATTTTCTGTTCATTTTAAACCTAGAAAATAAAGTATTCAGAAGAAAATTGGTTGAAAATATACCCACATGCGTGCTCAGGACTTTACAGGGCTCCAGATTGGTCCAGAAGGTATTCTGTGACTTACCTGTAGCATGGTGTTCCATTTACCTGTGGGGAAATAATGACTATAAATGTCCACTAAGTGTTACTTTAAAAATACTTTATTTAAATAGACTTTATTTTTCAGAGCAATTTTAGGTTTGCAGCAAAATTGAGCAGGAAGTACAGAATTCCCATATACCCTCTGTCTCCACAAACTCATAGCTTCTCACACTGTGAACATCTCAAACCAGAGTAGTACATTGTCAATCAACAAACATACGCAGACACATGGTTACCTCCCCAAATGCATAGTTTATGTTAGGGTTTACTCTTGCTTGTACATTCTATGGGCTTGGACAAATGTATAATGACATGTGTCCAGCATTATATCGTATACAAAATAGTTTTACTGTTCTGAAAATCCTGTGCTCTGCCTTCTCATATCTCCCTTCTTCCTAACCCCTGGCTACCAATGTCATTTTTAGTCTCCATAGTTTTGCCTTTTCCAGAATGTGTGTCACAGAGCTGGAGTCATACAGTATGTAGTCTTTTCAAATTGATTTCTTTCACTTAGTAATATGCATTTAAAGGTGCCTCTATGCTTTTTCATGGCTTGACAGCTCATTTCATTTCGTGCTGAAATTGCAATGTTTGAATGTACCACAATGTATTAATTATTTGAGAAACATCTTGGTTGTTTCCAAATTTTGGCTATTAAGAATAAAGCTGTTATCAATATCTATATGTGTTTTTTTGTTTGGACCTACATTTTTAGCTCATTTGGGTAATACCAAGGGGCATGATTGTTGGATCATATGTAAAGTGTATATTTAGTTTTGTAAGAAATTACCAAACTATCTTCCAAAGTGGCTGTACCATTTTGCATTTTCACCAGGAATGAATGACAGTTCCCGTTCACATCTTCATCAGCATTTGATGTTGCCAGTGTTTTCAGATTTTTGCCATTCTACCAATTATGTAGTGGTATTTCATTGTTGTTTTCCTTTTCAATTTCCTATTGGCTTATGATGTTGAACATCATTTCATATGCTTATTTTCCATCAACATATCTTCTTTGATGAGGTATCTGTTAAGGTTTTGGGCCTATTTTTTAGTTGGGGTGTCCCTTTTCTTACTGTTGAGATTTAAGAGTTCTTTTGTTATTTTGAGTAACAGTACTTTATCAGATACATATTTTGCAAATATTTTCTCCAAGTCTGTAGCTTGTCTTCTTATTCTCTTGGCAGTATCTTTCACAGAACAGACATTTTTAATTTTAATAAAGTCCAGCTTATAATTATTTTCTTTGATGGATTTTGCCCTTGGTGTTGTGTTAGAAAAAGTCATCATGATATCCAATATGACCTATATTTCTCCAGTGTTCTAAGAGTTTTATGGTTTTGCAGTTTACAGTTAGGTCTGTCATACATTTTGAGTTAATTTTTGTGATGGGTGTAAGGTCTGTGTCCAGATGAATTTTGGGGGCATGTGGAGGTCCAGTTATTGCAGCACCGTTTGTTGAAACACAATCTTTTCTCCCTCGTGTTGCCTTTGCTCTTTTGTCAGAGGTTAACTGACTATATTTATGTGGGTTTCTTCATTAATTATTTGTTTTGTCCCATTGATCTATTTCTTTATACCTTTGCTAACACCACATTGTCTTTATTGCTATAGTCATAAAGTAATTCTCGAAGGTGGATAGTGTCAATTTTCTGACTTTGTTCTTCTTCAATATTGTGTTGGCTATTCTGGGTCTTTTTCCTTCTCAATATAAACTTTAGAATCAATTTATTAATATTCAAAAATAATTTGCTGATGTTTTGATTGGGATATAGCATGGTGGCTGTGGACTAGGTTGGGAAGCACTAACATCTTGATGACATATTTATTTAGTTCTTTGATTTATTTAATCAGAGATTTCTAGTTTTACTCATATAGATCTATACATAGTTTATTAGATATATACCTAACTATCTTATTCTTTTTAATGTACATGGTATTGTGTTAATTTCAAATTTTACTTGTTCATGTTGGTATATAGAAACATGATTGACTATTGTATGTTGACCCTGTATCCTGTAACCTTGCAATAACCACTTATTAGTTCCAGGAGGTTTTTTTAAAAAAATATTCTTTTGGATTTTGTACATAGACAATCATATCATCTGTGAGTAATATCAGATTTATTTACTTCTTCCCAATCTGTATAGCTTTTATCTCCTTTTCCTGTTTTACTGATTAGCTAGAATTTCCAGTTCAATGTTGAAAAAGGAGTGGCAAGAAGGGAAAACCTAGTCTTAGTCCTCATTTTAGGAGTAAAGCTTCGAGTTCCTTATCATTATGTAAGATGTGAGCTATAGTTTTCTGTAGTCTTTATCAACTTGAGAAGTTTCTTTTATTCTTAGTTTTTTAAGTTGTTTTTTTTTTAATCATACATGTGTGTTGGATTTTGTCATGCTTTTCTGCATCTTTTGATATGATCCTGTGATTTTTCTTCTTTAACCTGTTGATGTGATGAATTAAATAGATTTATGAATGTTGAACCAAAATATCTAATTTTTATGACTTAACAGGGCTTCATTTAATAAACTAAATTAAATCATGTCCATACACTCTGCATTACATTTTAAACACTAAATAAACGACTGTTTTTGCCTCATTTTCAATGCCAAAAGACCCTAATAATTGAATTTTGCCATTTTGAGTAAATATTATAAAGGTTAGTTGCAGATATTTACATATAACAAATGACATGTATTTCTACTGAAAAAATTAGATAATTTCTATTTAAGTTTAGAAGGAAAGTACAGCATTATTGTAGAAGTTTCATTAAATTGAATAGCCGTTATAAACTTTTTCTTATAAAAGCATTTCTATGACATACAAGGTATTACATTTTTCATAGTTTTTGTGCAATTTGAGGTGAAAGTTGTTGGAAGTAAAAGTTCTAAATACTATGTGTAACTGTTGAGGGGTGTCAACATTTGATTGCGACAAATATTTTGGGCTGCAAGGCAGAATTTACATCACTGGAGACTATTTTAGTCATAGCCTCTCCTATTTTACACAGTATATTTATAGAGATAAGCTATTTATATTTGGAAAGAGAATAGAAATAATCGGATGAAGCTGTATTCAGTCTGGATAATGGTATATATATTTTTATTTAAAATCAAAACAGTGTGGTACAAAAATTGTTAAATAATTTTTATTCCTCAGAAAATCTAGATGAATGTTTCATAGCCTGGGCTGCACATTTATCACCTGGAGAACATAGTAGAGGAGAAAACAAACAAACCAACCAAATACAATACAGTGCCTGAGTCCCACCCCCACATCCAATTTTGTTGGTCTGGGTCGGGCCCACACCCTGACAGCTTTAGAGTACCTTCAGATTAATCCACTGTGCATCCAGGTTGAAGCCAGTGATCTACACCAAGTGATATATTAAAAGCAGACATGATGAGGTAGTGACTAATAAAATCTTGCTCATTTTGTAGCTTTCCAGAGGCAAGTGTCCCAGCATAAACATTTGCTATGCCTCTCAGTGTTGCTCATTCATCTGCAGATTTCTTTTTGCCCTCTGCTCATCCCTAGCATGCCAAGGAAAAGAGGTAAAATGTGGAAATAAGATTCCCTCTGCATTATTTCTCCTAAATTGCTGTTGTAAAACTTGAGTAGGAGAAGAGGTAGGCAAGTGGGAATTGAACCACAGGCTGAATAAAAATTTGCATCAATTTCAAGATTTCATTACAAAATAAAATCTTGCCTCACTCCATTAGTCGCTACCTCATTAAGGTTTGAATGCCTAAGTAAATCATGATTATCATTTAGGAACAAAAACTGTATAATAGTATTTTAACACTGAGAACTCAGTAAAGAAATGTTGATAAAATAGTGTTTATTGATACAGGTTTACACCACAGAACATTTGTTTTATGAACCGATTAATCAATTTACTTGTTTAAATTTATGTATTTAACTTTTATAAATGTGTGTTTTCGACAGTAGGAACTTCAAATACAAAATTTGGCAACAATGTGGATCCTGATGTTGATTCTCCTGCTGTTGAAAAATTAGGGAAAAGCAGCTCTTTTGAAAGACATTTCAAAGAGAAAGGCATCACAGATATGGAAAGTAGTCAGAAGCTGGATAATTCCTGCATAGCATTTGAGAGCAAGGAGTCTTTTCCAAGTGTAGATTTAGAAACATCTTCCACTAAAGAGAAATTATCTCAAGACATCAAAGAATCCTGGGAATTTAGCAATCTTACGGAGACGCCAAACTTTGAAGATTCAAAAACGACTGAATCACTACTGGTAAAATTCTATGATGTTTATTATATTAAAAATTTTACAAGAAACATTGTAAGAAAATTTTATACTCACACAATATATTCTTATATGTTACTTTCTATTGAAGTTAAAATGTGCTACTGTGTGTTATCACGAGGTAGTTGAAGACTGAGTTATATGGAAAAGAATGTTAATGACTTACAGGACAAATTCTAATATGGTAAATCCCATTATAATAAATGGTTTCTCTAACAAATAAAACTTTAAGGTCCATCTCATGCACCACAGTAAGAGTGCTGTTACCTTTGTAAGTGAAATTTGTTATTATGAATAACTTAGTATACTACATTCTTTCTAGTTTTTTACTGTATAGTCACTGGTTAAAATGAAATAAAGGCACATATGTAAATAGAATCAGTTTTTGTAGCTTAATGTAAGTTATAGAATTTAAAGCTATCCTTCAGGAACATGGCTAATAAAGAAATAGGGGTGGCAGCTTTGTTTCTTTTTCAAAAAAAAAAGTAGCCCAGCCAGTGTGGCTCAGTGGTTGAGCGTCGACCCATGCACCAAGAGGTTGCCAGTTCGATTCCGGGTGAGGGCACATGCCCAGGTTGTGGGCCTGATCCCTAGTGGGGGTCATGGAGGAGGCAACTAATTGATGTTCTTTCTCATCGATGTTTCTCTCTCTCTTCTTTCCTCTATCTAAAATCAATAAAGATAAAAAGGAAAAGTAGCTCATTATTGCATCATTGCCATATTTTAAAACTATATTTAAATCTCCATTCTATATACTAAATATCTTAAGTAATATTGATTATTAATAAGAAACAGTTGGGAAACAGAGCGAGACAAATGTTAAATTCTTTGAAAATGGGGAAGTCGAAACATTTTAACAACCTTTTAAAGTAATATGAGGTGAATCTCCATGGCGCCTAAACTGAGGGTGGTCCCAAGGCCTCAGACTGAGTACCGAGCTGCTGCTACTTCTGCTTGGGGACTAGATTTCTGGGGCCACTCTGTGACAAGCCTTGTTCCTTTTGAAGTGGGAAATTATATTGAGATCTCTGCAAAACCTTAGATCCCTAAAAGTCTGCTCAGTCTCTGAAAGACTTCCCCAGGAGACATATTCACAGATGCAAGAAGATGAAAGGAAACTGGTTTCTGTGGGGATCTGGGCCATATCTGACTTGAAAAATAGAAATCTTGGCTTTCATTTAGCATAGGGTTAGAGTGTGCATACACACTTTCTGCTTGGAATCTCCAAGGCACGGACTTAACATTAACGTTAATTCACATCTCTCTATTGATACCCTTAATGTGTCTGACAAAAGTAAATTCCAATCCATTCTGGAAAGACAATCCCATAACTTAAGTAATAAAAGATTCCCAAAAATAACCCCCACTGCAGATGAGCTATACCAGAACAAACAAGAACTCTAGCTTTCTAGTTTCCAGGACACCACGAAGAGGGCCAGGGGTCACTTGCTCCTGCAGTGGTCTGTGTTACGGGAGAGCAACCCTGAGCGTGTGAAATGCAGGTCTCTCATATTGGACATAGGCCTGCCTGACCTTTGTCCTAGCAGAAGAAATCATCTTCTGTAACCTAGTAAAAGGCATTTGGCAAAACTCACAGATACATAAACGGTGGCAATTCATATAGTAATGAAAGGCAATGTAGTAGTTAAAATAAATAAAATAGAACTACTTGTATTAACATGGATACATTTCAAAAATATGATGCTAAAATTGAATAGCATTTTTGAAACATTTATGATATGTAACTTTTTTATAGATACACTCAAATGTAACAATAGTCAAAAATATCATTGGAATAGAGTTTGTCAACTTCAATAATATAATATAATTAGCTCTATGTATGAATATTTATGTGTATATTTTATAGAAATTTGAAGCAAATCTTTTACATTACTGATATTAAATTGTGGATTACGTTAATCATGTCTTGTATATACCTATATATTTAAAGTATTTCTTAATTAAAATTGAAATATTAAAAAGCTACTAATCATATTTTGATCTCATACTACTTTTGTTAAAAAAAATGTGATAAATGATTACCTCATAGAGCACCATGCTTTACAAATAATCTACTTTCTTTTTTGATCCCTAATTACGACATGAACTGTTGCCTTAGTAGAAGCCATTTCCTGGGCGGAAACAACCTAGAATATGTTGTGTGCCCGTGGAAAATTCGAGTGAGCAGTAGGGGCAATTTTTAGCAATGGCATTACTTGACTTCCAAATTGAGTGTAAGATAGTTCATTTTGTACTTCAGTTTTTAGAAATTGAGTTCGTAAGGGTACAACCATCTATGGAATTAAGTACTAAGTTGTAGAGCCATAGCAGTGAGAAGGGGTCAGGTGCTGGCAAGAACGTGGTGTAGTCAGGGGCTGTTGTTTCTGGTTCTGAAACAACCAGTAGTTAACTTGGTGACTTTCAGAAGAGCAAACACACTCACTCATTGTTCTTACCTGTCAACCAAGGCTTTTTATTTTTAATTTTTTAATTTACTGCTCAACCAAGGCTTTTTAAAAACTTTTACAGATTTGGAAAAATCTCTAATAGACTATCTAACCTCACAACTTAAAGAACTAGAAAGCATACAAAAAGAAAACCCCAGAGCAAGTAGAAGGAAGGAAATAGTAAGGATCAGAGCAGAAATAAATGACATAGAGACCAAAAAAACAATTCAAAGGATCAATAAAACAAAGAGCTGGTTTTTCGAAAAGATAAACAAGATTGATGGACCCTTAGCTAGACTCACCAAGAAACAAAGAGAGAGAACCCAAATACACAAAATCAGAAATGAAAGAGGAGAGATAACAACTGACACCACAGAAATACAAAAGATTGTTAACAAGTACTATGAACAATTATATGGCAACAATTATATGACAATCTAAGTGAAATGGACAAATTTCTAGAAACACATAGTCTCCCAAAACTGAATCAGGAAGAGACAGAAAACTTGAACAGACCAATAACAACAGAAGAAATTGAAGATGTAATCAAGTCTCTCCCAGCAAACAAAAGCCCAGGCCCGGATGGCTTCACGGGGGAGTTTTACCGAACATTCAAGAAGAACTAATACCCATTCTCCTCAAACTATTTCAAAAAATTCAAGAAGAAGGAAGACTTCTAAACTCGTTTTATGAAGCCAGCATAATTCTAATTCCAAAACCAGAAAAAGACACAACAAAGAAAGAAAACTACAGGCCAATATCCCTGATGAACATAGATGCCAAAATCCTGAACAAAATACTAGCAAATCGGATCCAGCAATACACCAAAAAAATTATCCACCATGACCAAGTGGGATTCATCCCAGGGATGCAAGGCTGGTACAATATTCGCAAATCCATAAATGTGCTACACCACATAAATAAAATGAAGAATAAAAACCACATGATAATATCAATAGATGCTGAAAAAGCCTTCGACAAAATCCAGCATCCATTTCTGATAAAAATGCTCAGCAGTGTGGGAATAGAGGGATCATATGTAGACATAATAAAGGCCATATATGAAAGACCTACAGCCAACATCATACTCAATGGGCAAAAACTAAAAGCATTTCCCTTAAGAACAGGAACAAGGCAAGGATGCCCACTTTCGCCACTCCTATTTAACATAGTACTGGAAGTCTTAGCCACAGCAATAAGACAGGAAGAAAAAATAAAAGGGATCCAAATTGGAAAGGAGGAAGTGAAATTGTCATTATTTGCAGATACATTATTTACTTGATACTATACATAGAAAACCACAAAGACTCCATCAAAAGTTTACTAGACTTAATAAATGAATTTGGCAAAGTAGCAGGATACAAAATTAACATCAAGAAATCGATGGCATTCTTATACACCAATGATGAACTCACAGAAAGAGAAACGAAGAAAACAATCCCATTTACCATTGCGGCAAAAAAATTAAGATACCTAGGAATAAACTTAACCAAAGAAATAAAAGACCTATTCGCAGAAAACTACAGGTCATTAAAAAAAGAAATAGAGGAAGATATAAAAAAGTGGAAGCACATACCCTGTTCATGGATTGGGAGAATTAACATCATTAATATATCCATATTACCAAAGCAATCTATAGATTCAACGCAATCCCCATCAAAATACCAAGGGCATACTTCACAGAATTAGAACAATTACTTCAAAAGTTCATATGGAACCAAAAAGGCCTTGAATAGCCACAGCAATCTTGAAAAGGAAGAACAAAGTTGGAGGGATCACAATACCAGATTTCAGGTTCTACAACAAAGCCACTGTAATCAAAACAGCCTGGTACTGGCACAAGAACAGGTATATAGACCAGTGGAACAGAACAGAGAACCCAGAAATGGACCTAAGGCAATATGCTCAATTAATATTTGACAAAGGTGGCAAGAGCATACAGTGGAGTAAGGACAGCCTCTTTAATAAATGGTGCTGGGAAAATTGGACAGCTACTTGCAGAAAAATGAAACTAGACCATCAACTTACACCCTACACGAGAATAAACTCAAAATGGATGAAAGACTTAAATGTAACTCATGAATCCATAAAAATCCTAGTAGAGACTGTAGGCAACAAAATTTCAGACATCATATGCAGCAGAATTTTTACTGACACATCAACTAAGGCAATAGAAACAAAGGAGAAAATGAACACATGGGGCTACATCAAATTCAAAAGCTTCTTCACAGCGAAAGATACAATCATCAAAATGGAAAGGCAACCCACTGTATGGGAGAGCATAACTGCCAATGATATATCAGATAAGGGGTTAATTTCCAATATATATAGAGTGCTCATACAACTCCACAAAAGGAAGACAAAGAATCCAATTACAAAATGGGCAGAGAAACTAAATAGACACCTCTCCAAACAGGACATACAAATGGCTAAGAAACATATGAAGAAATGCTCATCATTACTAATCATCAGAGAGATGCAAATTAAAACAACAATGAGGTATCACCTCACACCTGTCAGAATGGCCACCATCAACAAATCATCAAACAACAAGTGTTGGCGAGGGTGTGGAGAAAAGGGGACTCTAGTGCACTGCTGGTGGGAATGCAGACTGGTGCAGCCACTATGGAAAACAATATGGTGTTACCTCAAAAAATTAAAAATTGAATTGCCATTTGACCCAGTGATCCCACTTCTAGGAATATACCCTAAGAAGCCTAAAACACCAATCAGAAAGAATATATGTACCTCCATGTTTATAGCAGCACTATTTACAATAGCTAAGATCTGGAAACAGCCCAAAGGTCCATCAGTAGACAAATGGATAAAAAAGCAGTGGTACATATACACAATGGAGTACTATGTAGGTGTAAGAAAGAAAGATCTCTTATCCTTTGAGACTACATGGAGGGACCTTGAAAGTATCATCCTAAGTGAAACAAGCCAAACAGAGAAAGACAAGTTTCATATGATCTCACTTATTTGTGGAATATAATGAACATAACAGTTTGAGGAATGGGGTAGTCCCAGAGATGCGGAAGTGTGGTACAGACTGACAATCCCCTAAAGAGGGGGGTGGTGGGGGAGAGATAAACCACAAAACTTATATGCATGTATGTATGAACAGTGGACATGGACAACCATCTGGGGATAGGGCAGGGAGGGAGGGGGAGGGGGGAATCAGTGGGGGAAAAAGGAGAAACATCTGTAACAAAAATTAATAAAAAAAAGAGAAAAAAAACTTTTACAGATTTGTAATTGCCTAATCCAAATATGAGCTTCCCTGGGGCCCAAAGGGGTTCTGTACATTGGTTCCAGTGTCTGGGGGAGCCAGTAAAGATATGAAGATATGAGTAGCAGGTACTTGGACTTGTCTTTGAAGGAGATAATTTATTGGTCACTACCTTGGTTTTGTAACATTTTAGCATTTATATGATTTATAAATTTGAATACAGTTATAATGATTTTGTGTGTGTTTGTTATCACCTTGAACAGACTGCACTGGGGCATTCATTAGGTCCCGTAGGGAGCTTTTAAATACTGATAGCCACTCTGATTGATAAATGTTAAGCCTATCTGGAGCTCTCACTTTGAATCTCTGATCTGTTTCTTTTTTTAATCTCATCTATAATTTTCCCCTGGGATGAAAGCATATCAAAAAATGGATTCATAGGGTGATGGAATAAGCCTAGGCACCAAGTGAGATAGACCTATGTTCAAAACCTAGGTCTGCTAGTTTCAAGCTATGTAAACTTCTCAAATGACTTAGCTTCCTCATGCCTCAGTTTCCAACTTGCTTCATGATGAGTATTTTGTCAACTTGAACTTTGACCATGACTATGGTCAGATCAGATTTATTCCCTTTGATATTTAATTTTATATTTGAAATTATTTTATGTTTAGAAAAAGATGCTAGTTCAAATGCCCAGCATATGAGATTCTGTTTTCCAGGTATATGCAAAGACATTGAGAAAAGGGAAAAAAAAAAAAAAAGGAAAGAAAGGAGAAAGAAAAACTTTGTTTCATGAACTTCTATACTCCTTGGATTGATGGCACCTTTCAAATAATTACTGTGAATGTGGTTTAAACATGTCTCAAACTTACCATATATAAATGTTATTATTTATGTCTCCTGTACTAGAAATTAAACTTGATGAGGGCAGAATCCATGCCAAGAGCATAGTAGGTGCTCAATGAATGAATGAATGTGCTATTTTGTGTTGATGAGATGAAGTAAACAATTCTTTTGAATCTTCTGTTTCCTAGTTGTTACAAGAAATAGCCCTCAGAAGTAAGCCTATAACTGAAAAATATCAAGGACTTGAAAGATTCTTTGTTCCTGATAAAAATGAAAGACTCAACTTACTTTCTTCTCATAGCTCAAAACCCACTTATTCCAGTACTAGGATTACATTTGCAGGTAAATTCAGACATCAAATCAGATGGCCTGTGGACCAACCTAACAATTTCCTAACACGTTTTTTTAAAACAGCGATCTTTATCTTAGGGAATACTAGGTGAGTCTGTTCAAGTAAAATCATCTTATTCTTCTCTAGCTGAACTTATTAGCACGGTGTGAGTCGCCACATGTTATATTGAAAGCTGCTATCAGAAAGAGATAATATAATTGTGGGGCTGGGGAGAGATTATTTTTAGAATTTAGAAATGTGGTCCTTACTAAACTGAAAATAGGAATTCTTGGAACCAATTTATTAATTGTTAAGTATTGTATAATGCTTCTTAAATTTCATCTTAAAAGAAAGCCCAAAATCTTAGGATCTGTGAGATTTCTGAGACATATCTGTAATTTTCTTTTGGAACTAGATTTTGGTGTCATGTGTATTCTTAGGCTTCCTATGTGTTCAAATGTGTTTATTCACATGCAAACTATTATACTTTGTTATATTGTAAAATACTTCCTAAAATATTTGTTTCTATTCAAATATATATAGTATCTTTGCAATTTACAGGTTTTTTTTAAAGTTAAGCTATATGAATCTAATGGTTTTTATTGTGTAATTATGAGATTTTTGTCTTAGTAGTATATACCAAACTGTTATAAATGTTCCTTATGTAGCTAAATATTATCCAGTGAGACAGTATACTTTTATTAAGCAATGTCACCCTAACAAATTTAACAACAATTAAAATAAGTAAATAAATAAAGCTACAACATGAATTTTCCTCCTTTTACCACTTGTGTAATTGTGCCATTTTTCTGTCTAAGGAAACAGAGACTGGATCCCGGAGCAGAGCATCTGTGCGTGCGCGGACAGTGCAGCCGCCTCGGGGGCTGTGCAGAGCGCCCAGGATGCATCGGCAAGTAGAACACAGCCAAAGACGGGTAAGGTGGACCGTCGCCCGCAGTGACACACTGGTGACTCACATGGCTTGTTAGTTTGTCTTTAGCAGTTTCCTAGCCTCCTGAAAATTAATTTTTGCAGTTTTATAATTTAAACTTAGTCATTTTAACTAACAGTCCTATATTTTCCTTGCTAAACAAAAACTAACAAACAAAAACCTAGAGTACTCATTCCTGTAAAACAAACAAAACAAAAAACACAAATTGCAACCTTAATTATTTTCTGTAGCAGTGTATGGGAACGAAATGTTTTTAAAATGTAGCTCAGGATATGGTGTGTATTTTGAACAACCCTTACCTACTCAGTTTCATTACACTCTGAGAAAAACTATTTCTACTAGGGTTTGCATACTCCTGCACTAGGTTTATATAATGATCAGATACAGCCATTTGTGAAATGAATGTCTTAGGCTAAGATTACTGCTGGTGGGCGTGGGTAAGACACCTCCATTCTAAACCTAATGCTGAATGTGTTAACTCTGGGATCTTGATTTAGTTCATTTACTCCATTCTCTAACCAAAATAAGTACAAGATTTTCTGTAGGGCAATTCTTTTGACATGTTGAATGATCCCTGCAATATTTTCATGGTGAGCATATGCAGAGAATTTTTACATTATTACAATCAGTTGTATTATTAGGTCATTATTGTTATCCAGTAATACCTGCTAAAGTCAGTTTGCTTTATGGTGAATTTCATGTGAATTTTCAGTGGATGACTGATGAATTAAGGCAATGCAACACAGATGCGTTGAGTATGTTAGCACTGTGCTGGGCTGGGGAAAAGGATACATCAGTCATGTCCTCTGATCAGTTTAGGAGGTATACTTAAAAAGGAGTCTCTTTACTTTTTTCTGAAAGCCATCTTCAACCAAAAATTTAATTACATATGATTTGTACAGATATGTCAGATTTATATGTCTCTTTTGCCCTAAATCCTATGATTAAAGCTCCTTGGCTAGATTAGATATTTTCCATATGCATTTATGTTACAAAACTATCAGATATGAGATTTTTTTTAGTGGAAAAACTATCCATTGATGATAAATTTTTTTTTTTTTTGGCCCTATTTTTAGGTACTCATACTCATATCAGAGTCTAGATCAGCTTCAAAAATTCTGGTTGCTCCCTTCTGAGTCAGTCAAAGGAACTGTTTTAAGTCACTGTGTATTGATGAAAACGAATTTGCATGCATGCTGTGAGAAATTTGTTACCAAGACAGATCTTTATATATAAGTAGCCAACTGCCTTTTAAGTATCCATTTGGAATGGTCATTTGAAATCAATAATTTACCATAAAAACATTTGTGAGAAGAGACTTTAGGCCAGGCACTGCCAGTCACTGGTGCTGTGAAGTAAGCCCTCCTTCCCGTAGCCCGAGAGCTGCGTCCAGTGTCGAGGTACTGAGGCGTCACGGAGCAGAATCAGCGTGGGAACCTGCTGTAAAGCGACTTTCTTGACTTCACTCCTAGTGATTCTGATTCATGAAGGCTGAACTAAGCCCCAGGAATTTGCCTGTATTTTATCAACAACTCCATGTTATGCTAATATAGTCGTCCAAGAATCATATGTTGAGAAAACGATTACATAGATATGTAAGCTTTAATTATACTATCTATACATTTTATAAAAGAACTGGGAGTGGCATACGTTTTAGAAATTGACATGTAATTCATAATATAGTAGAGGCAGGTGCCTGTGTGGTCTTTTAGAAATGGACATGATAAAATAATTACCTTGCCACCGAAAAGTGTAGATATGCAAGGTGTTCCAGACTAAAGGAAATTTCAGCTGAACCTTGAAGAATTCATAAGATTTACCAGTTAGGGGCAGAGAGAAATGGCTTTATCTTAGTAGCCTGAAATAAAACAATATTTCCTGGCTATGCCATAAGCTATGGAAATCTTACATTCTGAACTGGTGACAGTGTATAAAGGAAATCCTATTTCTGTAAGATCTTTTGAAATTTGTGAATATAAAACATGATAATTATGAAAGACATGTGTGTTTAGCAGGAAGTCCATTGATTCTCCCCACCTCCTGCCAAAACCTACTCCTACTTCTCCAACCCATCTTTCTGTCTCTGTAAATGGCACCACCATCCAGCCATTGTTAAGTCTGAGCCCTGGGAATCATCTTAACTCGCTCATCACATCCTATGACCTGTTCATCTCCAGATTCTGCTGTTTTCAGCTCTAAAATTAACCTCGAATCTAACCACTTCTATCTTGACTGCTCAAGACGAACCCAAGCCAGTTGTTCCTCATCTCTTCCTTGACATCCCCAAATTCACTGTTGCCTTGCCACAAAACCATGATTAATTTCCATCAAATTCTCCTACTTACAGTCAGGGAATGAATTATTCATAAAATTTGTTGTCATAAAATTGTTTATAATTTATAGGGAGTGAATCATATATTCCATAAACTCAAGCCATAGATTGTATCATGTCAATCTTCTGTTTAAAAGCATCCCATAGCTTCTTAGAGAAAACAGAAAAATTCTGTTCCTCCCTGTGCATCACACAACCGCCCCTACACTGCCTGCCGTCTGTCCTCCCTGCAGCCTCCCCCACAGTGAGGCCTCGGCGGCTCTTCTTTCCTCACACAGGCCACGCTCCCACCTTGCTCCTCAGCGTTACAATGTGCCTTCCCTTTGCCAGGATGCTCTGAACCCTTCATCTCCATCTTTACACCCTTTTGCATATGTTTGATTCTTTCCCATCATTCAGCCCCACAGAGAGGCCTCCTCAGACCACCCTGTCTATTCAATGCTGGTCTCTTGAGTCCCTTAATCACATTGTCCTTCTTTCATCTTTCTCACAGAACCTCTCACTAAGTGAAGATATTTTCATTTACTTATTTGTTTTCTGCTTACCTCACCTATAGTTGGAAAGAAAGCAAGGACCTAGCCTGTGCTGTTCATTGGTGCCTCCTCAGTGGTGGGCGGGACCTGGAACACTGTAAGCACATAGGGAGTGTTTGGGGGTGAAGGCAGCGGGGAGCAGGACTCAAGTTAGTCTGGAGTGCAACTTGAGGGAGGGGCGACGTCTCATTCACTTTTGAATACCTGGATCCTGACACAGCACCTGGCAGTTTTAGGATGTGACAAATGATTTTGTAATTGAATTGGATGGGGTGTGAATTGTAAGTGCTCAAAGTTGGAGGGGATTTAAGACATTATTTTGTCCAACTCCTTAATTTGACTGGTGTGATATGAATGTTCATGTTTCAGGTCACAAGCTGATTTCTCATTCAGGGAGACTAGATAATAAGGTTCTTTCTCCCCGGTTTAGCATTTTTTTCACTAAACCATGCTGCTGCATACAATTTCCATATGTGTTTCTAGAACTCTTAGAAAATACATTTGTATTTTTTATGTATAAATACTCAGTAATTTGCAGTTGAGCAAGAATATCAATGGACAATAATGTTTTGCAACCTTTGTTCAAGAATAAAATATTGGGTAATTTTATTAGAATGAAATGTTATTGCAACACTGTAAAAAAAGCATGTTACCCTGCTTATGCTTCATCAGTTCTAATTTATAATCAGAATAGCATCAATAACTATTGTATTAAATACTATTCAGTGAGTGATTCATATTTTCATATTGGTCTTTTTAAAATGTTTTTATTGATTTTTTTTTTTAGAGAGAGAGGAAGGGAGAGATAGAAACATTGATGTGAGAAAGAAACATCCATCGGCTGCCTCCTGCATGCCCCCTACTGGGGATCGAGCTCACAACCCAGGCCTGTACCCTGACTGGGAATCCACCTGGAACCTCTCAGTCCACGGGACAATACTCAGTCCAGAGCCATACTGGCCAGGTGCATATTTTCATATTCTTATCAGCATTCTTATGCACATTAATATAACCCAAAGGCACCCTTTTATTTTATCTTTCCAATATTTGTAATGGTCTCATTAGTTATCCTAAAGCATATATTCTTTAGCTAATACCAAGGACAGTGTCCTGTATTATATTTAAGAGTATAACAGTGATTAGTGTTCATCTATAATTTCCCAAGATCACATTGCTGGTGATGGCACACATTACTCCTAAAGTAAGTTCTTATATTTATAATCTACAAACAGGAATTTTAAAAAAGCATAGAATGATCCTTGCAATAATGGCATTTTTTGTTAATGCCACCCTTAACCATGTCTCAAATCTTAACCCTACCAATAACATTAAAAAGCTCATACAGTAAACATCAGAGAGAATGACATGCTCTCCTACATGAATAAGATAAATGACTAATATCAAGGACCAAATTGGAGCATCCTCTTCCTCTCTCTGCATGTTGGTTACTCTAAATTACATTTGAATATATTTTTATTAAGAATGATGGTCTGTTTCTTTGCTGTGTGCTAAGCATGAGTCTGATTCATCCCTGGTGAACTTTTATTTTTTTCTCAGTTGGGATCAATTAACCTCAAACACTGTGGCAACCAGATGTTGTTATAAAAGTTCAGCAAGTATTTGTGTTTTGCTGAGTTTTCTGAAGAACATCTACATTATGTCAAAATTTTCTCCCCTCATATTTATCTATGTTGGCAAAAGTCCAGTTTTTGCTAATAACATCTTTAATTTGTTTCTTTTTGTTGTTGTTTTAAATTTTTATTTTTAATTTATTTTAGAGAGAGGAAGGGAGAAGGAGAGAGAGATAAATACATCGATGAGTCTGGCCAGTGTGTCTCAGTGGTTGAGTATTGACCCATGCACCAAAAGGTCTCCAGTTTGATTCCTGGTCAGGGCACATGCCCAGGTTGTGGGCCAGATCCTCAGTGGGGAGCATGCAGGAGGTGGTCAATCAATGTTCTCTCTCATCAATGTTTCTATCTTTCTTTCCCTCTTACTTCCTCTCTCTCTAAAATCAATAAAGGAAAGAAAAGAAAAAGAAACATCGATGAGAGAGAACATTGATTGGCTGCCTCCTGCATGCTCCCCACTGAGGATCTGGCCCACAACCTGGGCATGTGCCCTGACCAGGAATCAAACTGGAGACCTCTTGGTGCATGGGGTCAATGCTCAACCACTGAGACACACTAGCTGGGCTCATTTGTTTTATTTTAATAAGAGTTCTAAGTCCCTTTAAATTTTACTTGACTGAGACTTAGCACAATACAGATAGATGGGTGTGGTTTTTTCCATAGATCTAGAACTTTTGATTTATATAGGTGAACTGCTGTTACACTCACTGACCTGTGCTTTTATTGCTATTCCTGTTACTATTTCATTTTGTGGGAATGGCAAATTTGCTTTTCCACATGGCTATGAATAAAATATTGATTATTTACATATTACAGGTAAAAGGGGAAATCATTTCCAAATTCTTGTCATTAAAATAATTCTTGAGAAGGCAGCTATGTTCACCACTATATCACCAACAGCCCAGTGGCCAACAGTAGATGAGTGGATAAAAAACTGTGGTATATATACACAATGGAATACTATGCAGCTGTAAGAAAGATCTCGTATCCTTTGAGATGACATGGAGGAACCTGGAAAGTTTCATGCTAAGCAAAATAAGCCAATCAGAGAAAGACAAATACCACACGATCTCACTTATTTGTGGAATATAATGACCAAAAAAAAAAAGCTGATGAACAAAACAGACCCAGAGACATAGAAAGGAGTATGGTTCAGACTGACAAACCTCAGAGGAGAGGGGAGGGGCAATGGATGAGATAAACCAAAGAATGTATATGCATGTATGCTTAACCAATGGACATAGACAACAATGCTTGGCGGGGGGCGGGATAGGGAGGAGAGTGTCTGTGGGGGAGAAAAATAAATTAATAAACAAGAAAAAATTAAAAAAATAATTCTTAGGGATATTTACATTTATTTTTCTTAAAGTATAGGCACATTTTTTTGTTAGTTTTTTTTTTTTTTCCTTTTAGAATTGTCTCTGAACAAAGACACTAAAGGTCAGCATATTATTTTAATATATCTATAATTTTATTCCAACAAAAATTGTTTTCAAAACTGATTTTTGAAATGTTCATTCAAATGGGTGCCCTTTGGGTCTTACCTTGGTTAGTTTTAATTGCTTGAATAATTACATACTGCATTAAGATTCTTCTTAGGGCACTAGCTACATTCAAAGTTGATCTTTAAAAGTTAAAAATTATAACTCAATAGTCATTAAATGCTTAATACATGACAATTGCCTGTAGCCTCTCCTGAATTTTACGTTTTCCTTTGCATCAATAGATTGGGCAAAACACTGTACGGCATACCTTCAATCAAATCATGGTTTTACCACAATGACAATAGCTCTTCTCTAAGGAATTTAATATTTTACACAGCGCCTATTCCTGTGAAGGGAGGGCAAGCTTCTCTTGTAAACCATTTATACTCGATCTAGATACATTCATTTAAATCAGAACAATTAACCAGTGCCCATAAAACTTCACTGGTGCTGTGCATTTCTGAACTTAGACCTTGAAAATTCCCTTTATTAAAGGATCTTGGAACAATGCCAAATTATTAATTAATTATGCTGCATTAGTATAAAATGTGAAGGGATTATTATTTTTTCCTTCTATGAGAGAAACACGTATGTTGAAGAAACCAACTAAATCAACCTTTGAAATATATGAAGATAAAGCTGTGCGTGGCCTGGTGGGACAGTGGTAACCTGCCTCAGGTCCGGGCTCCGGGCTCTTCCAGCAGAGCGCTCTATAAAGCAGCAGACAGTGAACTCATGTCTAAGAAAACTAGCGATGTGATGTCAGTTTCTTTAAAGCCTATTTTTGTTTATTAATTTCGTATACTAACCCATTTTGTCTCCATGTTTGTTCTAATATAGAAACGAATTACATGCCATCAGGTAAATTGGTTCATGAGGCAGTGGAACCACGCCCACACCAGGGTTCCTCTGCTGACAGGCTCCCGGGGTATTGTCCGAGCACTTAGGGAACAGGGCACAGCCACTGGCTAGGGGGCAGATGATGACCTTGAGTGCCCAATGTGTCTGGAATTGTTATTTTGAGGTGTTTTGCTTTAGTTAATATTGAAATTATTTTATCTTTTCCCAAATATGGAAAACTTAGGGGAAAATAACTCAGAAGTGTTTTTTTGTTTGTTTGTTTGTTTGTTTTATGACATGGGAAACATAATTTGAGATTAACAAGTTATGATCAATTATAGATGATAATCTTAAATTCAGTTTTTCATAAACTGTTGCGTGAACTTAACTGCTCTAAGTTTAGGGAGCTGGTATTTTGTATCTTTAAACACTCATTCAGAATTTTAAAAGAAGTTGATTAAAAAAATTTTTTTTCTCATTTTAGGCAGGGCCCCACACAGACCTTCAACAGCAAGTTTACCAGTTTCCACCTCTGTTAAAAGAAGCTCCAGCTGGCTTTCCTCCTTTTACTCTCCACCAAGAAGTGCCCCTGCCCAATCATCATCTAGAGCTGCTTCTGAAATTTCAGAAATTGGACACATTGATATCACTGGCCACAAGGAGCCTTTCTCAGACAGCATTGCTGACCAGCAGTCCTTGGACAGTCTGGAAAAGGAATTCAGTGCGCTGAGAAATCTTGCAGGTAATGCTGTGTTTTTTTCACTGGAGACAATGTTAGCTGTGCCCTCTGCCTCATTCTTCATATCCTGCCCCAAGAAAACAAGCCAGCAAACAAAAAGGCCTCTCTCCCTTTCCTTCTTTCAACCATCAAGTTTTGTTTCTGTTTTCTTAGCTATCCCTCGAGGCCACCCTGAAAATGTTATGTGTGGATGCCAACCACACAAGAGTTGGTCCCTCTTAGGTCACATAATCCGCAGTTACACTATATTGCATAAGAACCTTCGTGTGGACAGAAAAAAATTATTTTTTTCTTCTTTCTGCAAACCCACTGAGGGGCTAATCTCGGTAGCTTTATAAAAGCTGCTGTCCAATATCCTTGTTGGAAAATTAAGCTATTAGATTTTTTAAATTAAGCAGTATTTAATGAGCTTCACCATATACAGAAAGCCTCCAGGGATCTTGCTAAAATACAGATTATGTCTGGGGTGGGACCCGAGATTCTGCACATCTGACAAGAACCCAGTTGATACCAGTGCTGCTGGTTGGCAGACCGGTTTGAGGAGAAATTATGGCTGTGCATTCTACTTCCTGAACCTCAGTGGATGTCTGATAAATCATAACCATATTTTTGAATTTACAAAGGTCTGGTTCAGTAACAAAACATCAGGGGAAGAAACCTTAATATTCATCAGAGAGTTGTTCACGTACTGTGATAGAAGCCAGCGGCGAATGTGAGGGGCAGGCCAGAAACTTCTCTGGGCCCGTGTATTCCACCCACGGCTCCCCCCTTGGCTTCGTTTGTTGTCGGTTTGCTGATATTTACATTAGGATGGTGACTTTGCTATTTTCCTAAACAGAATACATCTTGGTTTTGAAAACTTGAGGCAATATACAAAATATACAAAAGAAAGCCCAAATCCCCACAAAAACTTACTACTCTGAAAAGAACCATTATTAGCATTTAATGAGCATCATCTTAAACTTCTCTGCTTATATCATAAGTATGCATGTAAGAATTTATAGTTAGAAAGATGAAAAGATTGTAGGAAAGATAGGATCAATTTTATTAAAAAAGACATGTTCTACATAATATTTTTAAAAGTTATGTATTTACCTAATTTAATAAAAATAATTGAGACTAAAGGAAATCATACATTTCAAATAAGTAAATTTTATTAAAAAACGTTAAGTCGAACTATATGAAATTGCCTTTTTGTAGACAAAAAACAGTGGAATATTGGCAATTTTATAAGGTCCAACCAGTGATTTCTGTACTATCCCTTTAAAAATTAAGGAAAAAGGTAAAAAGAAACAATGAGTATTTGAGGACATTTTTAACTTTATAATATATTTTAGAAAGTAATAATTAAATCCCTATAATAAAAGATGAGAACTCATTTATTTCTTATTTTTAAACTGCATGATAGTATTGAATACATCCCTGGTATAGTGATGTTATAATTTATCATTTTTAAGGTTTCCTTTTATAACTTTTTCTTAGTGAAAATTCATATGGGTTAAATGATCAGTACTAGCATTTTTACTATGATTTCCCAATTTTGAGCCTTTTATTTGAAAACTTCTCCAGGAGGTTTGACTGTAGCATTCTTGAGGATGTCTTGTGTTTTACCTTTACAATTGATTAGCACATCACTAGACGGATACAGTGGGTCACAATTTCCCCCTTGCTCTTAGTAGACATTTCTCCATTGTCTTCTGTCCCTGAATATGGTGCTAGTTGGTCCCTTCGCACGGATTTTTTCCTTTAAATGTTTGAATGTGATTGTCAAATAGTTTTTCCCCAAGTAAGGCCCATGGTTGCTCAATTTCTTAAATTATTTCTTGTTTCAGAATTTCTGCTACCTTTACACTTGAATAGCAAATTGGTTGAGGGTAATTTCCTTGGATCACTTTTATCATAAACCTTGTACATACTAACTCATTTTCTGGGTCTGAATTCTTTCCTGGAGCAGTGTGAGGTCACCTTGATTTTTTATTTCACCTTTTCTCTTGCACGCGACAGGCTTCCTTCCTCACTGGATATTTGAAAAGAAATGTCCATATCTTTGCAATTCAGTAAATGAACCAAGATTATTTCAGTTTTAATAATCCAGCCTTTCTTAAAATAGACGCTCTCTGTCTGCGAAGTAAGTTCCTCTTGATTTTCAGAGAATTTTTCTGCTATTGTATATTTGTTTTTCTGTTCCATTTGGTTTCCTTCTGCTGAGAAACCTATTTTGTTTATGTTGGATCCTCTTTGTACAATGTATTTACTTCTGTTTTCTTTCAACTATTTAATCAATGTTCTAGTTTCTTTCGCATTTACTGTGATTCTCTCAAGTGTGCCTTCTGTGTCACAGTTCCATTTTCAGCAGGCCATAGTCCATTCTTTATTGATTGGTTTACTAAATTAGCTCTCTAAAGGTATTGCATTGACTTTCTTTAGTAATTTTTACTTTGGTATAATTTTAAACTTACAGAAAACTTGCAAGAAGGCAAAAATAGTACAAGGAACGTCTGCATACATTTTACCCAATCTACCACCTGTTCGTCTTTTGCCCTAATTGCACATATGTGCGCGCACACACACACACACACACGCACACACACACACGCACACACACCTCTTCTTTTTCTGAACCATTTAAGAGGAAGTTATAAACATCATGACCCTTTATCAAAATAAATAAATTAATTGAATAAATAAATCATTGTGTATCTTCCATGAGCAAGGACATTCCCTTACACAACCATAGTATAATGACACAGATTAGGATATTTAACATTGATATACTATGACTCTAATCCACAGTGCATATCCTATGTTTAAAAATTGTCTCATTCTTTATAGTTGTTTTTTCTTGGTACAAGATTTAATCCAGAAACAGGTTACCACTTAATTTTTTTCCTTTTTGATGTCTGACATCTTTGATCTTTGAAACTAGTTTTGCTCTTTTTAAAAATGTTGTTATTATTATTATTTTTTTTTAGTCAAAAGACTTATGGGAGCCAGTGTGGCTCAGTGGTTGAGCATTGACCCATGCACCAAGAAGTTGCTGGTTTGATACCCGGTCAGGGCACATGCCCAGGTTATGGGCCCAGTCCCCAGTGGGGCATGTAGGAGGTGCCCAATTGATTCCCTGTCTCATTGATGATTCTATCTCTCTCTCCCTTTCCCTTCCTCTCTCTCTAAAATCAAAAAAGAAAAAAAATTAAAAAAAAAAAAGACTTATGAAGAATTTTCTTATGGTCTTAATCTGTTTTATACCAGATTGGTCTTTTATAAATCATTCTTTGCATGCTATGGATTCTTGGATTCTGGTTTGTTTGTTGGCAAACAACTAGTTGCTATCATTTCTTTGTTATCTTACTTGCTCATACTTATTGTGGATGGCTTTGCTCATATCCTCTGACTTTTGTGATATAGTGAGACTTCATTTTCCCTGAAATGCTTTCCACCCGTACTGAGATCTGTCAGTCTTCTCTTTGGAGCTACATTTGTGGGTTGGATATTGCACTCTTCTGTGTCCTGCGAGCTCAAAGTCCTGGAGAGGATAGATGAAGGGCTGGAGAGCTCAGCCTCCTCTATTGGAGGACCTGGATTTTATCTTTTATTTTATTTTATTAAATGCCAAGTTTCATTGAACCTGGTTTAAAGTGTATTCTGTCCCTGTGGGGACACCTGCAACTTTGCAATTTTCTTGCCTCTGCTCAGATCTTTCAGCGGGTATTTAGGGGCTTTAAACATATTTCAGAGGTTTTCTTCTTCCCCATCACCTACTTTTTTCCAAATTGGTGTCATATTGGTGAGATCTGGCAGAACTTTAGATGACTCTCCTTTTCCCATTATTAGCATTATTAGCATATTGAGTGGGGAGGGGGTGGGGTGAACAGCAGTAGCACTAAGATACACCCAATGAATCTTCTATTTATTTCATTTGGTTGCCCCTTGTCAAAGTTTATTATGTGAACTTGTAGCCCTTTCTTTGTTTTGTTCCTGTTGAGATTTTATTTTACATTTTTCCCCTGCTTTTTCTTTTTTTTTTTTTAATCCTCACCCGAGGACATTTTTCCATATTTTTTTGTTCAGATAGAGTGGGAGGGAGAGAGAGAGAAACATCGACGTGAAAGGGACACATCGAGTGGTTGCCACCCGCACAACCCAACCAGGGCTGGGGACAAACTGCAACCAAGGTACATGCCCTTAGCGGGAACTGAACCTGGGTCTCTCTGGACCGCAGGCCGATGCTCTAACCGCTGAGCCAAACTGGCCAGGGCTCCCCTGCTTTTTCTATTCATTTCATTAGAACTTGAGGGAGGAGAGTTTATGATCCATCTTTATTTATTCATTATTCATTTGCTAAATTGCTAAAAATCAAATGTAAATATCCTGGGAGGCAATACTCCCAACTAAAGGCAAATTGTAACGTGGAAACTGTCTGGTCTGACCTGAATCTAAAAGGATAACCATACAGTTAAATAAGACAATTAAGGGTCTCTTATTTTGATTGATAAAGTCCATTATTTACAAATGAAATTCAGTACTTACAAACTATAGTCTTTTTGTATGTGTTTCTAACCACTGAGCTTTTCTTTGCCTCTATCACTCTTATTCTTACATGCTTCGCTTGCCCTGTGATTCTCAGCTTCTCCTGCACCAACCCCAGCATGTGCATGAGAATGCACAGTTTCACATGAAAGCAAGCACACACTACATGGCCTGTGAAGCACCGGGGCAAGAAAGCCATCACCCACACACACTCGCTCCAGGGATAGCTCTCTTTATGTGGGAAGATTAACTTTGGATGAGGGCACAGCTCTGAGACACTCTCCTGGAGCTAAGGAAGGAAGGAGATGGCACATCAGCTAAATCAACCCAACAGGCAGTGAGGTAGCAGATGCTGTAGTGAAATCAGGCCCTATTCTAGAAAATTCACTGATTCTGCACAAGGTTTTTGTATTCTGTTTAGCATCAATGGGCAGAAAAATTCCACCCACATTTTGCTACTTATGATGCAATCT